ATCTTTCTACTTTCTGAGTTCTTAATGTGTAATTCTTGATGTGTAGTCTGACAAGTGTTGCTGTAAATAATTTAAACAGCAGTGGCTTTTTCTTTTCAGCATAGAGATAAAAATAGTAGGATTAGGGAATAGTCTCTTCTTGGGAGGTGGAGAGGTGAGGAGGGATAGTTGGTGTGGTACTTACTAGCTGTTAGGATCAGTCAAACCTGCCAAGTGTGTAGTGAGACTGCATGTTCAGGAAGCCTCACTGAGACTGTAACATCACATCATGCACAGTGGGTCAGAACAAAGGTCGATCATACCCACTGTTCCATATTGGCCAGCAGTGAGTAGGAGATGCTGGGGGAGAATAAAAGCACAGGGTGTTCATGCAGGGGTGCCCTGCCAAAGTGCCTTCCCAGCCTCCGGCTGTCTCCTCTGCGGCTCGGGGCCTTGGACCTGGAGGTGCTGCCTTTCTGTTCAGACTGAGTAGAAGAAATAGGCCTGCTTGTCTGAAGAGCTCTTCTCAGTTACTGTAAAAACCAGATACAGACAATAATATTGCTTCTGTCTAAAATGTAGCTCTAAAGAAGAGAGTGTATCATTCAGTGCTCTGCAATTACTGGGTAGCTGTATGTCCATGTATGCCTTTCTGTATTGCCAGAGGTGCAATTCACACCTGTCTTTTTCAGATGCAGTAGAAGGAGCTCATTGCATGTATTGGGGCTGTTTTCAGTCCCATATATTTTTCTTTTTTTTTTTTTTTTTTTTTTTTCAGAGAGTCTCTTCAGGATTGTGTCACTAGTTTCAGTCTGTGTGTGCTGCCAATTTTTTACCCCTGTTGCACAGGCTCTCAGAAGACCTCCTGTGTCTGTATCCTGTCTGCCCCATGAATGGGATGTCCCCTTTACCTTTTGGGTTCTGGCCAATGCGGCTCTTGTTTTGTTTTAGCAGCCATGTTTCTTTGTGTATATTATGCACTGCTTGTATCCCACTGCTTTCCCCAAAGACTGTGGTATCTAAGGTTACTGTTTTCTCTGTGGGAGATGAGAAAGCAGAAGGATATCTTCACTGCTTGCCCAAGCAAGCCTGATACAGCCTACAAAGTCTCCATCACAAAATCCTGTGGATATAGCTCTTGTCCACAATAGTGTGGGAGAAGCTTGTGGAATGGGTTGGAGTGTATGTGGGCAGTTCCATAATTTGCCATGTAGTCAAACAATTTGGGATACATGTGCTCAAATTATGGGTTTTGCTGATTTAACATCACCATTTAACCAAGCAGGCTGTTATCAGTTCCTTGCCAGCTGGTGAAACACTAGAAAGAGCCTGTCCAGAATGACATCTCTGTTCAAAGGGTTTGGAAATGCAGTGGAAATGGAGTAACCAAACATGAGTTTTTAAACAACTACAGAAGAAACAAATTGAGATGGGAAAATGTAGCCCAGGTGGAAGTGCATGATAAGATTAGTGGGCTAATCCTGCCAGTGCTCATTTAGCTAGGAGAATGGACTTTGCTGTCTTGGTTTATTATTGCTTAAGGTTCTATTAAACACTGCTAATATTTTTTACTTTTTGGACAGATGAAAGCTGGAGGCAACATTTGTCTCCAGGCAGCAGCAAACAATTAAAAGCTGAATACCCTGTGTGCTCTGCTCTCACCACATCTTACATATAGTTCTCTCCCAGTCCATTTTTCATGAAATGGTCCATTTTTTGTAGGGTCCATTGATGTCTAGAATACTTGTGAGATTTTTGAACATGATTAGATGTGTTGATCAAGAGTTAGTGTGATATGGACTGACATAAATACCACCAGAAATGATAATTTTTCATTTTTCACCTAGACAACACTTGGTTTTGATTTGTTTGATTTTTTTTTTTAAGGGAATGTAGGAAATCAACTAAGGCTTTTTAGTACTGTGCTAATGAACTGGGTAATTGAAATTCTGTCCTGTAGATGCTGTTATCATCCCCATGTATTGAAAAAGTTTGACATCTTGTTGTTTTGGCATTTTGGCCCTACTGGGTTTTGGAAGACTGTGTATGCATGTGACTGTTGAGCTGAGGTGATTTTAGCAAGGAGCTAATTAATCGTATACTCTTGTCTCATTGAATGTTGGCTGAGGAATTCAGAGAAAATAAACTGTCACTAATTTCTTAGGGATATGTAAGGCAACCTGCTCTTTTTAAAATGTTATTGTTCCAGGCTGAGCTAATGAGAAAGATGTCAACTTTTGCAGGAAGCAGTGGGCTCTTAGGGTGTTTTCGTCAATGTGGAGGTGTTTTCATAGAACCATACATGAATAGAATATACTGAGCTGGAAGGAACCCACAGTGATCATCAGCTCCTGGCCCTGGGCAGGAATTTGCCCCAAGAATCCTCATCATGAGCTTGAGAGCATTATCCAAACACTTCCTGAGTTCTGTCAGGCTGTGACCACTTCCTGGGGAGCCTGTTCCAGTGCCCAATCATCCTCTTGGTTGAAGAGCCTTTTCCTAAATCTCCTGACACAGCTTCATGCCTCCCTGGTCACCAGAGAGAAGAGATCAGTTGTTGACCCTGCCCTTCCCCTCACGAGGAAGCTGCAGACCTCAGTGAGGTCTCCTCTCAGTCTCCTCTCCTCCAGGCTGAGCAAGCCATGTGACTTCAGCCACTCTTCATATGGCTTCCCCTCATCCCATCACCATGGGTAGCCCAGATTAAAAAGGTGTGATGGCAAAAACCTGGTGCCCTGCTATGATCCCTGTTAGCTGTTTCCCAGTGAGAAGGGACAAGCTTGGAACTGCAGTAGAAGAAAGGGAAAGGGAGATGATGCTTAGTCAGTAAAATAGTTTTTCTTACTTTAAACTCAAAGAAATGGGCAAAATACTGGGATAGCCAAAGACTAGATTTTAGTCCCTGCAGTTCTTGTGTCTATTTTTCAGTGACTTTAATTTAAGAGTTCCCAGAGTCAGGACCAGGGGTCTAAACTATTGCAAGACTTTGTTTTGGATTGTATTTCAATGCTTCAGGCTGGAGCGGGCACAGTACTCTGTGGTGCAATTGAAATGAAAATTCAGCAAGGGCCAGAAAAGGAACTCTAGACAGCTGCCTAATTCTTAGCTTAGCCCAGCTCTGTTTGGAACCATTCCACTTCTGGGCTGTTGCACAATCAAAGAAGTGTGCTTAGTTCTAGCATGATGAGTGGGAACTGCTTGCCCTGAGAACCAGGGATGGATCCTTGTCTGCTTTTTATATGGCAGTACTGTGTCCCACTTTCTGGCAAGCTGTTGGAGTGCTGTATCGCTCCAACTATATTGTTGCATGAAACTTACTGTATTGTATTGCATAAAATGTGGGAACAATCACCAGCTTACTACCTTTTGCCAATATTTTAGGGAAGAATGGAGGGCTGATTGATTAGACTCCAGAAGCAATGTGAAGACCCATGTGCAGGCATGTGTGTGAGGCTGTAAATCCCAGTCTCTGAATTCTAGTCAAGCCCTTCAGTTTAGCAGGAAGTCATCTATAAGCCTTTCTTCACTGCTTCCTGTTTGTTACTGTAGGTGATTCTACTCTGGCTGTTATAAATCTAGTCATTTCCCATTAATTGTGTGGGCCATGTCAAAAGCTGGGAGTTCTCAGTCCTGTGAGGTGAGCAGTAACATCTGGGTATGCTGGAAGAGTACTGCATTTGAGTGTAAAACTAGAGTCATGGCTGGCTGAAAGGAGCACTGCTGCATGTGTGGGAGGAGTTTTAGTTGCCTCTTTTAATTTGGGCAAGCTGCTTCTCCAGCATCTCCCTTTCTGGTTCCAGCATTGCTCTTCCAAACTTCTTTCATGGTGCTGGTGATAGGCAACTGTAGATTGGGTCCTCCTGGACAGAATAGGACAAGGGCAGGTCTACAAGAGGATTGGATCCCTGTTTAATTAAGCTCTGTACTTTCTGCATCTTACTTCTGAGAAAAGCATAAACACATGAGACAGTTCCAAAACTTGGCCTCAGTTCATGGAAAGGAGATGCAATCAGTGTTGTGGCAAAACTATTCCCCTGTGCAGCGGTCTTACTCCAACAATCCTCTTCATCCTCACACTTGCACTACAGTGCACTGGAGGTGGTGTTATCTTTAGCAACAGTGATAGGAAAAATGCCATTTTTCTGGAGTCATCTTATTTTCATGGTCTTAATACTTGTAAACTCATTTGTGGGACCCAAACTGTTGAAAGAAAATAAACTTTGATGTTCTTACTAGTCCAAGCCTCATTTTCCTACGTTTTGGGCATTGTGCTGTTTTTCAATGTGACTACTGGCTGTGTTGGTGCTTGCCCATTTCTGTACTGCAAACTAGATTTCAGTTTTGGTTTCCATGAGAAAGTGCACAGGGTATGCCCTGCAATTTAATTCAAGCCTGTGATTGCAGAAAGATAGATAAGACAGGCAGGTCCTAGTGAAGAGACCATTAAGTAAAATGGCCAGATGCTTTAGGTTTGTTGAAACCCAGAGCAAGAAGTGCTTGAGATCACTCAAACTTTGGAAAGGTGCCATGTTCTGCAGCCATATAGTCAGGGAGTACAGGAAGGGCCCACTGGCACGCATATGTCACTTTGTACCTTTAACAGATACTGTTCCAGGCTGCTTGAAAACTCAGGAAAATCATCATCCCTACAAGTGTTTGTCACTGATAGCTCTCCAGGCAAACATGCTAAAGTTTTAATTTCAGTAAGTCAACAGTGGTAGCTGGAATTGTGTTCTACACTGGCCTTGATTTCCATAGCTCCCAACAGCTTAAGGTTCTAAGAGCAGCAATAAAAGAAAAAACCAGGAAAAGGTAATATTAATTAAATGTAAATTGTGCAGGTAGCTGATGTACTGAAAAGCAGCAGAGCCTAATTAGTAACCACAAACACGTTGGAGGCTGCTTTGTGAATGCCTAGTCAGCCTCACCACAGCAGGCCTATGATTTTAATTTTAAGGACATGAAATATTTAAAAGTATCTAAGTATGTAAGAACTAAAAGACTTCTTTTCTTTATTTTAGGTGATACTGTCACTATTGGAGATGTGTCTTTTAAACTCAAAACACCGAAGAACCCAGAACTTGTTCCACAGAACTACAGTAAGGATCTGCTTTCCTTTTGAAGGACTTTCAAGGCTTTATTAAAAAAAATTCTATTCACTCAGTCACCTCCCTGACTTTATTGAAATTATCTAAGGAATATGTTTTGAAGAAGCATGCAGTTTGGGGTAGGCTGTCTTTGCTTAGTTCATTATCTCTGGTTCAGCTGGTTGTATAGGAGTCTTAACTTTGAATATAACTTATCCCATTAGTCAATGGGACAGCAAGAGAATCATTTGTGTATGTTTAATTTTTTGTAAAAAAAGGTTCTTATCCAGGAATTACTTCTAAACATAATCTCAAGTTGTATAGTCATTAAACTGTGGCCATTTAGAATTACCATTCAATTGTGATATGATTATACATCCTAGCAGTTTGCACATGTATGGTGTTTTTTTGCTGTTATATTTAGTATTCCCAGGTTATCACATAATTGTTGTCAGCAAACATACAGGTCTTTGTGATCCATCAAGGTAATGAGAAGTCAGTTGCATAGTCATGAAAAACGCTGTCAAATGGAAAATATGCAGACAATAATGCACATTAACAACGTGCACACATGTGCCTAAAATTGATTCACACTATCTTTTGACACCTTATTACAGACATCACTGGTTTGCAGCCATTCTTATTTCCTGGCTGTTCACAGACAATACATGCTTTTTGAGCTTTTCCTTTTGCATCATGGATCACAAGTGAATCACGTTTGCATTGTGGCTTTTCTCAGTAACAGGCCAGATATTTCCTGAAGATCCAAAATGATCACTTGCCATTTGTTCAGAACTTTCATATTTAGGCTGCTGGATATCTAGAACGCAAGTTAAAAAACATCCACTAACAACTGATTTTTCCACTCAGATAAATTTGCAGACCAAAACCAAGCACCATACCATTCTAAACGGGTATGCAAGTCTTACACGACTGTTTACACAGAGACAAGCACTGAGAACTCCTAATGACTGTCATTGCACAGTTCTGCAGGTGGAAAGTGGGTGTAATCATTGACTTCAAGTGAATTTGCTTTCCAGGATTGTCTCTAAATTCATTACATGGTATTTTGAATCAAGAAAACTCCTGGGGCACTGGTCTTTTTGTTTGTTTTGTTTTGTTTATTTTTCAGAAGGATAGCATTGATAATATCAACAGTAGACTTGGCACTGCACAGCTGACAATATAAAAATTTATATTGTTTTCTTAGGTAATAGTGCTGCAGTTGATCAGATAGGCTTTAGGTGGTCCTGCTTGAGCAGGAAGGTTGGACAAGCTGACATCAAGAGGTCTCTTCCAACCTCAACTATTCTGTGTTTCTGTGATTCCTGATTTTGTAATAACTGGGATAGTAGACTCAATACTGACATGTTTAGATAATTGTTTCTTAGCTCTGTTTTGTCACACAACATTTTGTCTGAAATATTTTCCCTTGGAAAGGTATAGCAGAAATACAGAAACATAGAACAGTTTGGTTGAAGGTTACATTTAAAGGTCATTTAGTCCAACCCCCACTGCAAAGAGCAGGGACATCTTCAGCTAGATCAAGTTGTTGAGGGGGTGATACTAAGGAGAAGATTTTATTTGCTTTGACTATTTAACTGGTGTGAAATCTGCCAGTAGTCTGATGGGCCAGATCACTGATCTGCATCTGGACTGTGGGCTGATGAGGTCTCATAACTCAGTAAGCATCACACTGTCACTTTCCTACCAGGTGATCTAAGGTACTGAAAATTTCCAGTGTCCTGTGCCAGCCCTTGTTACAGGGTAGCCCATGAGGAAAGGGTTTCTGTTTTAGACACATCCCATTCCTCGTGAGTTCCCTGGGATTGCAGCCAAACAGTTGAGAAATGTTGCACAGTATTATTACTTTTTACAGCTCCTTAAATAATAGATTTTTGCTTTTCACTGTTTATTTTGTATGCCTCTTCTCTCATTTTGCATCAAGGACATCAGTTATCTATGCTAATCCGTGTTCCTTATTTATAATTTTGGTAGATTAATTTGCTTGCTCATTTTCTGTGCTGTACCAAGTGTGTTAATTATAACAATGCTTTACCAATGCATTTCACTATTCCAATTTACCAATACTTTTTCACTATTACACATTTTGTTCAACCTGCTCTTTTCATCAAGTTAAATGTTAGCTCTAAGTTACTCTAACATCTCTTTCAGTTCTTTGGGCCGAGAAGGTAAGAGAATTATGAAAGCATTTGGGGGAATCAAAGGAGAGATTTTTCTGTTTAATGACTATAAGAAAAAGTGGCTGAAAACTGATACTGAAAAAGTTATTAAGCATGGAACTGTATAGAATAATGAGATATTCCCTAAAATCTGATACCATGTAATAATGTTTTTGTTACTAACATAAGTCTGATACCAAGTAACAGTAACACTTATTAGAACGTGTATTAATAGTAGTTTCTCTCTTTAAAAGAAATAATAATTGTGACTAAAATGAGCCTTGTCACCCTTGGGTACTGTTGTTACTTAGTAGTCATGTACTGTAAGTAGGCTTACTTAAGGTACAAAATTTTACTTCTAAACCTAAGTATCAAATGAGTTAAAATTAAGTAAGGTGGAATACTAAGGTATTTCATAGCAGAAAATTTATTTCAAATACTTGAGTGCAGTTTCTTTGTCTATTTAAACTTCGGAATTTTTTAACCCTTAGTGTTTAAGTTCTTTGGTTATCTTACTAGGGAGAACAAAGATATATTCCTGCAGTGGAGTTAAGTAGATTGTATTGACTTCAAGTTGATTATCATCTTGTGAGATATTTAGAGAGTGTATGTGCATTACTTAACAGATTCTTTTCTTCTTTTATGAATACGTCTGTTTTTGCTGTATGAATGACTGCTGTAGATACAAGTTATTTTGGTATAAATCAAATGGAATTGCATGTTTATACTAATTTATAAACTAAAATATCACACATTTTGAAAATTTTAGTAATTAATATTAAATTAAGAATGTACTTACATGATTTCTTTTAAACTAAGACTAGAAATAATTTAATCATTTGCTTAAGTGGGAAATATCCCTGAGAAGGTCTCTGCCATTGCAATGTTTGTAGTGGAGTAAGAACTAGGAGGAAGTAATTGAAGCAATTGCAGTTCATTTACTAGTATTGCATATGATATTGTTTTCTAGCTCCTCATTTGTGTGAAGTACAATGTTTCTGCTTTTGTTCTTCTGCCAGATAAAAGCCTTGTTAAAATGTGATGATGTTGAAAGTGCGTATCTGTAATTTGCAGCAAATTTTAGGTATATTATAACATATGCTAAACTCAGCATTGTTTTCTAGGCTTGAAAATAGCCTTAAAAATCTGAAAAAATCATAACGTAGTAAAGAATGTAAATGTATTAAGTACCTACAAAAGTTTTCATTTGTTATTTTGTCACATAACTGATAAACTATTTCTTTGTGGTACCAAATTAGACTGATTTTTAGCTTCAGTATTGCACCATATTACATTTTGCAGAAATGGATAGGGTAGGTATTGCAGCTTGCCCTATGTTTCCATGTCTTTGCTTTTCAGGTTTTTTGCTAGGTCCTAGCAAGTTCTCTATGAAATGCTTCATTTTTTGTGTTCATGCGAAATATTAATTTGTTTTGCTGTTGTTGGTAAATTGCTTTTTCTTGGAGGACGATAATTAAAGGAACATAAAATCTGAGTTCTTTTTGTAAGTGGCAAGTAAAAATGAGTCATGCACAGGGGAATTTTATTAATGGGATTTCTGTCAACTGTGTCTGACACGTTCTAGAAAGAGGGCACTTATTTTTGTGCTGCTTGTTCTTTTATCAGTGAAAATAAGCCCTACATTTTAAAAGTCTCACCATGTCTGAAAGCAAGATTGTTTCTCTAATTATATTTTGTAGAAACTTTGTATGACTTTCTGTGATAGTTTAGATCTAAAATTGAATTACAAGAGTGCACTCTTTTTTTTTTAGGGGGTGGTTCATGGCAGTGTACTGCTTTCCTTAATGGTTTCTGGAAATGTTATGAAAATGACAATGTACTTGACATTTTAGCTATTTATTAATCTTGACAAAACGATTCCCAACAAAGCTCTTCCAGGACATTTTTTTCAATGATGGCAAATCCTCGTTAGGGCAGGAAAAGGGATGTTCTTCTGCAACAGGGCTTTGCTGCTCTGTGAAGGTGCGAGTGCATTCAAGTGAGTTTACATGCAGCTGCATTGAATTGTGGAAGATTAATTTCAGTGTCGTTTTTGCCATATGTCCTCAATCTGAGCACCCCCCAGTGTGTGATCAGAAGTGATATGTGTGCATACAAGGGATTAAGTTATTAATTTAGTTCGGGGTTTTTTCAGTTGAAATATATGAAACAGTAATTATTGTGAGGAATTCAAGTAGAATGTTTGTGTGTGTAATAATCTCTGTCCTCACAGGATCATATGTGCCACATATTGAAGTTGGGACTGATGTATGTTCAGTTTTTGGTTTCAGTAGGCTCAGCTTTTCACTGGAATGTGTGCTTGTTCTTTTTTGTGTTAACTTTACATCTGAGTGTCAGCGTGTAACACTTTCTAGAGACCGGTTGTATTGCAGGATGACTGTAATTTCATGCTAACAAACACTTCATTCATTACATTTCTTCATTCCTAGCCTCAGGGAAGGTGTCTGCTGTCAGAGATGATGATGATTTCAACAGTTTGAGTTTTCATGTAGGCTTCCAGCTGTTCTGTTGTTTGGGTGTTACCACCCCATCCAGAATCTGAAATAGTGGGCTTTTTGTCAGTAGAGCTCTGGATGTTTTACATTCTTGTCCCTATTTTGTCTGTACTGAGTGAGGCATAGGCAAACATGGGGAGATGGAAACCTAAAGAGAAGGTCTGGATGGAGCTCAGGGAGTTGTCTCCACTGTTCCTTGTGCTTCAAAGTGAGGTCAGTTGAATCTGAACCACTCCTGAGAGGTGTTTGTCCTCCTTGTTCTTAAAATGTACTCATAATGTAGATTTCAGAACTTCTCTGCACACTTTGCTCC